AAAAAAAAAAAAAAAAAAAAAAAAAAAAAAAAAAAAAAAAAAAAAAAAAAAAAAAAAAAAAACAGAAAATAATAATAATAATAAAAGGAAACAAAAATCAAAGAAGAAACGATTGCGCATATAAGAACAAGAAAATCCGAATTCAGAATCAGATTACCTTGATGATCCAAGACATAGAACAAGCCATAGGATGTTCCAACAAGAATATCCAGATTCCCATCACCATCCAAATCAATGACAGTAGGGGAGGAATATATATAAGCACGAAAGTTTGCAGAATCTGTGCTCAAGTCTAGTTCAGCTGTCCACTTCACTTGCTTTGTATCCAGATTGAAAACAACAATAGCACCAGCTACATATTTCCCAATATCAAGATCACCCAATTCTTTCTTGTGCTCTGGGTTATCGTAGTACCTATTATCATAGAGACTCATCAATTTTACCGAAAAAATAAGTGAAAATAAACACATTCATCACTCAACAAGGGTAGAAAGTCTATTCACTCCCAGAGCATTATAAAGATTTTAAGTGAATATACCAAGTACTTGATGCCCCAAAACCCAGCAAGAAGTACATGCAAGTACATTTGAATATACATACAAAGAAACTAAGTTCAAATAAAACATAAGAGAGTCCTGATTTTTTTTCCCTCATTTTCTTAATCAATACTATCTAATGTGTGAGAAACTGAAAGAATCAAGACACGAGACAGCATCAAAGGGAACTCACTCGTGATCAAAAAAGTATGAAACAGCTACAACCATTTCAGATACCCCATCATTGTCTATGTCAGCTATGACCTGGAAATTTATGTACCATTCAAAGATCATTACCATGAGTCAAGAATAGTAAGGAATGGCACAGAACTTCATTTGAAGTATAAAAGTTAAACTTACAGGAGTGCACAATAAATGTGCGTCAATATCCACATATTCCTCCACTTTTTCATGCTTATCTTCAGTCCACTCCTCATCTCCCCACATGGATTCATCAACATAATCATCATAGTCATAATTATACTCATCAGCAAGTTCATCATTTTCACGGAATATCTCAAATGATTGATCAGCCCCTGCTTCTAAAGGTTCATCATTTTCAACTGTGGCAACATGCTCATCTCCACTACCATTTGCCTTGGACCCAGAACCATCTTCTTCAGATTGTTTCGGGTCATTAACTTCCAAAAGTCTTCTACTCGTCCCAGTTGCATTCTTATCATTGAGATTTCCAGTTGTAACATTCATAGAAGCATTATTGGTCATGCTTGTAGGCAGGACAATATCTGGTTCAACTTTTCTGTCATTCACCTTACTGTTATTCATGGTATCTGAAACATTCAGCATTTGATTTGGTATGGTAGCTGAAGTATTTAGTTCAGTCACACTTCCATTCATCAAGGTCTGGGTTGTATGGTTTAACTCTGGAACACTTCCATTTGTTTCTACAGGGACAATATATACACTGTGATGTCAGTTGTCTCATCTCATGAGATTCTGGATATTCCTTTTATTGCAGACTAATAATCAAAGGGATGAGATATACTTACGAGATGTTGATTTTGAATTCATTGCTTCTGTGATAAGTTGATCATCATGAACATCTGGATGAGATCGGTCCACTGGATCTGGATTTAGACTCACATACCAATTCTTGCGCACACGGCGACGTGGTATCTCTAACTTATCTGTCATCAGATATCCTGACACCCTAACAACAATTGATATTTTTAGGGGAAAATATTAAAAAGAAAAATGTATATACCTATATGTATAGCATCTTATTAAGACTGAACTATAGAAAAGGTAAGAGATGGTTTGTGTGGAAGGAGGCAAAGATAAGCACCTGAAAAAGAGTACTTCTCCATTGTATGTGGCCAAAGCTATTTCCCTCACACCATCTTTGTCTATATCATATAGAAGAGGACTAGCGTGCACAGTTGACTGATGGAAAGCAGGCCACCCTAATAGAAAATGCATAATTTTGACTAATAGGTTGCCTTAAAGAAACACAAAGCACAACTAATTCTCTCCAAAGCTTTCCTTACTAACGTAATATTTTTCACAATTCGACCTTTTGCATGCAACACTATAAGAAATTGGCAATCCCGAAACAATTACCACAACTTTTACCTGGCATTTTATCTCCATCAGAACCTTCTAAAACTTCAAGGTAGTGAACAAAAGATGGAACCACTATCTCAAGCTTCCCATCACTGTAAAACAAATAAACCAGAAAAATAAAGTTGAAGTAAAAAGAGGTTGCACCCCAAGTGTAATTATGATAGCATTAGAACTCCGAGGAATCCTTTACACATTGGTTAATCTTCATGCCATAAGGAACGTACTAGTGAGGGGCTTACTATACCTGTTAATATCAGCGATCAAGGGGGTAGCATACACGCTAGAACTTACTTCCGTTTGCCATCGTAGCTCCAAATTCTTTGGGCATTGTGTATTCAACAAAGCATCCTCATCTCTAACCAAAGATCAGAAGATTAAAAAGTCAATCTTTGGAAAAATACGAATCGTTTCCCCAAAAACCTCCAGCCAGTTTTACAGCAACCGAAGCACTTGAACCAAACGAAAAGCAAAAATCTCGATTGCAATTTGAGCTCACAATCCAATGGGAAAAAAATCAAATAAATAACCAGACTAACTGCAGGTCACAGAGACGGAAAAGAAACGATTAAACACAACGATACAAAACTTACATCTCAGGGTAGCCAAGGGCATCATCCGTGGCTACTCGTTCCCGAAATTTGTTTTTCTTGGTCTCCTCACCGTGAATCAAATTCGACGGAGCAAAGAGAATTAAACAAATAAAAAGAGCTGAAATCCCCGAGAATTTCATGTGGCCGCCACCGTAGCCTTACGAAGAACAGAAAGAATCGAATACTCAAATTCGAGGCAGAGATCAATGCAATTTAGGGAACGAAGCCCCTGAGGAACGCGCTATCGAGACTCTGCAAATTGAAACGCAGAGCCAACAACAGCAAATTGCCTTAAACCCCAAAAGGGATCTGCTTAATCCAACTGCAGTGGCGTCTTTCCGCTGGGAGTATGAAACGAAAAGATTTTAGAACGAAAAAATGTTGACTATTCTATCGAATTTGTCTGGTTTATTGAAATTAATACCTTTAAACAAATTTTATACGCCCTCAAAACCTTAAATTAATAATTATATTCATTTAAAATTTACTTTCATAAATCTATTAAATTTTAGTTTAAAAATTATTAATGCTTATTTAAATGTATTAATTAATGTAAATGAGAGAAAAATATTAGAAACTAGATTGTAGGAATGATTTTTTCTGTATTTATTTAGAGATAATTATATGATAATTTTGTTATTACTTTAATAATTTTATTAGAGTATTTTGACCTAATTTTAAATCATTAATAAATATTCTAGATTTGATTCTTTATATAAGATTATAATTTAAATTGGTAAAATTATTATTTGGGATTTGATATAATATTCAAATTTATGGGTACAAATATAAGATTATAGTTTCTAAATTTTCATTATTTAGTTCAACAATTATAATTGAGGCAAGAATTAAGTTTTTGTATTTAAATATTCATTTTTTTTTTATGGCAGGTTCTTTCTTTATTTATTTTTAACTTGGAAAAGTTAATAATTTCTAAACGTGAGTTCTCTCGGAGAGGGAACGAAATATTTTTTTTTATAAAGGTGTGGAAACATCTCCGTAGCATATGCGTTTTAAAATTGTGATGCTGACGGCTATACGTAACGGGCCAAAACGAACAATATCTTCTAGTAATGGGCTTGAGAGGTCACAAATGGTATTAGAGCTAGACACCAACCGGTGTGCCAACGAAGATGTTACGAATGATATTAGAGCTAGGCACTGAGCGGTGTGCCAGTAAAGACGTTCGCCCTCGAAGGAGGTGAATTGTAAGATCTTATCGGTTGGAAGCGAGTTTAAGTTGATTGAGCCCTGCCTATCCACGGTTTTAAAACCACACTGAGCTAGCCCCCCATCTAAAGAAATAGGTAAACTTTGTAGCAGCACAAGAGCGGATTGTGAAATCTTACATCAATTGGAGAGAGGAATGCTAAGCCCCTATTCGGAGCGAATTGTGAGATCGTACATTTTTACGTAAGATTTTACCAAATGAACTTTCATATGAACATTTTCAATTCTGATGGCAAAATCCAAACTAAATCAAAAACTAGATGGAATTATCATCTTCAAATGAAAATTATTCCTTCCATATCATCTTTCATTTTGATAAAAACATACCTGTTTGGTTGGAAGCAACCTCAAACATATGAATGGAGTTCGTATTTTCAATTCGAGTAGAAACCCCCTTTTTTCGACTATGTTTCAGCAGAAATGGTAAACGAAGCAAACAAGACATCGAACAATATCCAGGTCGTGTTCTTATTTCTCATCTCAAGAACAGAAAGACAGAGGACAAAACAGAAAGAAAGAGTAAAGGTTATTCACAACAGTAAAATGAAAAAGCTAGCTATAAAAACTTAGCTCAGATTTACTTTAAAAAGAACTACCTAAGAGTTGCTTGCTGCCTACCGCAATTGCTAAATATCGAAAATCAAATTACTAATATACACGATGATGATCCTAAACCTACATCTCTTCACCTGGAAAACTAGAAGAAAAAAAATGGATTTCAAAGCTCTAACTGAAAACATCTATAAAGTGCAATGACTGGATGATCATAGACACGCCAGCTGCACACACGACGATAGCAACAAGGCAAAGCTATGGCAAACAACATCCTGTAGGAACTCCTTTTGAGCATCTCGTCCAAAGATTACCTAATTTCTGTATTTGTGCATCGCATCGTCTAGCTATCATCACCTCCGTCGTGTTGAATTCGTATGTTGGGCTGCTTTACTATCATTCCTTATCCTATCAGCATACATAGGCAAGCGTATGATCTCATGAATTTCCTTCAACAAATCCTCCTCCGTGATGTTGTCTTTAATGCTCCGCATAACCTATTTCAAACGTCGAGAAATATTATTTCAAACGTTGAGAAATATTAATAGACGCAGGTTTCGAACTCTCAGCAAAACGGCATATCAAATTGGTAGGAAAAGAACCTTTCTATATGTATTGAAATCATTAGGAGTTGTTTTGTCTGTCCTGATACGCATGCAGACCCATACTCGTTCATCAGAATCCCAAGAGCACTCAACAATCTTTCCTGAATAGAAGGAGGGGTCGCCATCTGCAAAAGTTTCAAAATGAGACCTAAAATGATACACTGAAGAACTATATATTATTCGGTCTATAAAATATTTGCAGTCAAAAGTAGAATCTCATTCAACAAACCCAAAGATTTTAGACCAATGACCACCTAGTTATCCAGGAATTTTGGCATAGATAATGAAACATTGAGGGTAAAGGTTGATAAAGATAGATACAGCCAGAATTAGCCACATATGCAAGAGATAGTAGTTATCAAGGCCCCAGCATTCTGCTACATAACCGCGGTAGCATCTATATACAAACGAGTACAAATGTGGATTCATGAACTCATAAACAGAATACATCAGGTTCAACTTGGAAGGCGAGTCAGACACTCCCTCAGAAACTTTTCAATAAACTCACTTCATGCGCGGTAATTTAATACTTTATTCGATCTACAAGCCCCTAAAGAATTAATGAACTAACTTGACCAGCAATTTTAAATACAAAGATGACTAAACCACAGAAGTAAATTAACATCATACCACAAGTCCTGGACGATCAAGATGATATTTCCTTCACAAAAATTTTGCACTTGTGCACAATGGGATGTAAGAGTTCATCGTAGCAAATAAAAGATAGATTATTAAGAATGATTTAACTGATAATAGTGCAAAGAGAAGACTAAAGAATATGAAGTAAGAGGGCAGAAACTATTTGCATCAACCTTTGAACTTAACCCTATTTCCTTCCATTGTTTTCCTCTTTCCTCGTTCGAACAAAATAAGCGTCTGAGAATCATCGTCCCCCATCTGTCCAGACAATTAACTTCAAATTACTTCAGCATCAACTTCGGCAGCAGCAATCAAATTCGATGCTAAAGAAATTACTTACAACCTCAAAAAGGAAGTCGACTGAATTCATTTCCGGATATTTCCACTTTAAAAGACCCTCATGAGTTCGAGGAACATAAGCATCATCCCACCCCTAGAAAAGAAAAACAAAAATACTATTTCACCCCAATAAATGATGATAACAAATTTCCAAAAAAAAAATGTAGAAAAATATCAATTTATACACTAAACTTCCCAAATTAAATTAATTAAAGCTCTAAATTAATAAACGTATTAATTAACACCCTAAACTTTCGTAAGGGAATCAATTTTGACCTAACATTAGGACTCTGCTTCTGCTTCAAAATCATTAATGCACAACTTTCACGTCTAAGACTTCTTCAAATATAAAGATTAATGCAATATTCCAGGCAAATATTTGATTCAGGAGTTTTTCCTTTCATATGGGCATTTTTCATCTTCTCTTCTTCCTCTATTTTTCATTACTTATTTAAAAAATAATTATATGATAATTTTTCATGCTATTTGGTAGTGTTCTGGAAAAAAGAATAACGTTAAAATTGATTTATGAATAAAAGGAATAAATGATTGTGTATCTGAGACAATCATATTTCCTTATGGGTAATTATACTATGATTGTGTATCTGAGACAATATTTCTAACAGTTCCTTGGGCTGTTAATGAAACTATTAAATCTTGTAAGAAACCAAGTTTCCTGGAACAAAAGATAACTCAAATCCTATAAAAGGTGCAAAAGGTATCTATTCATATTTTATTTACTAAAAATTCAACTACCTGAAATATTAGACCATCGGCATCATGTGAAAGCCTCGGTATGAACTCCTTCAAAAGTTTGGTAACTGTGGAGAGCAACCAAAAGTCTTTCCTCCTCACCTAATGAGTATTTATTTATGTTGAATCAGATAGCCACAGCCAGAAGAAAAGAAATAAAAGAAAAGTATGGATACAAACCCTGAATGGCTCTAGGTCATATCTATACTGAGGGTTCCTACTTTGGTAAATATTCTGGCGCTCGTAATTACGAGGTTCGATCACTTCTTTCTCAAGCATCTTCCACCGTTCATAGAAAGGACGCTACAGCAATGGCAAGCTATTAGAGCTATAAAATGGAAATAACAACTTATCACTAAAAGATAAATGCACAATTAGTTGAACAGCATGAATTGTAAAAAAAGAAAATATGACCAAACAGTCAAGAGGCAGTTCTATATAAGGTCAGCCAATGACCATCCAAACAAGATATTACCAAGTGCAATTGGGAGTTAACTATATTAAGAGCATAAGGTTTCATCCATAAGGATCACTAACAAAAATATAAATCAAACCTCAGTGACTGAAACATGATTAATTGCCATCATATCATATATAAGATATCTTCTCTCTTGCTTCTGTGAGTCCGGCAGAGTGTCAATGATCATTTCTCCATCAAGGAGTGTGTAGTTGTGAATCTTCTCAACTAGGCCCTTGAAGCCAAAATGAACAACGTATATCAGGTTGAATGCACATACAATTATACAAGTAAATAGATCTCCAGTGAAGGATTGGGCTAACATACATCATTTGCATTTCTGTACGGAAATCTCATTTGGACTCTTCTAAATTTAAAACCCCTGTCAATCAAGTAGCATCCATCCATGGTTATTAGCATCATATATCTTGTTCCATCAGCTTTCCACGTGGCATAATAATAGCGTTGCCTTAGCAGTTGAAGATTCTCTCTGCATACCAAAAATATAAAATAGAACTCAATATCATGAGGCTAAATTTAAATAGAAAACTAAATCAATAAGAACATATAATCAGAGGGAGTGCAAGAATGATTGCTCAATTGCTTGCATTACTTTTTCAGGGTAAGAAGCATTTGCATTACCAAAAGACTGAGTGCGATGTCTCCACCAGAGCAAAGGAGCGAAGAAGACTATAGAGAAAGGGTTTCCAATATTTAAGCACAAAAGTAAATAAGAGGCGGTGGCAGCTTTTAAAAACAAGAAAGAATGCTAAATCTCTATGTTACTCTAGAAGTTCTTTATTCAATATTGTTGAGAATAAAAGAAATTATTCCTCTACAACTAAACATACAAATCAAAACACAAAGGTTTGCAATAGTCAGAACTCTTAAATTGCAATAGGGGTTACAAACTATAATAACGTAACAAAATCTTTTCTGAGTTAAGAATATAGCTCAAACGCTCCCCCCTTCCCTAACAAAAAAAGAAACGAATCTATAAATAACCATCCCAATGTTCAGATCGGAACTATAGCATCAGGATCACAGTTCATCTGCAGTTGAGTTCAGCAGGTAGCAAACCTGAAGCGTAACCCTGACAGTCACATGGAGGACTGCAGAGGAAGTAGAATGCAAATTACTAGAAAACCTTAACCGTGGGTTGTTATTAGAAGCATAGAGAGTGACCACCGGCCAAGCTTTTTCTAATCAATTATCTGGCATTCAACCCTTCTTGTCTCTTCTATTCCCATTCTCAGTAACCTAATTGGCTATGAAAACAGCACCCAGAATCTTTCTTTTATTAAAAGCAGTCCAAAAATCAGAGACGGCATATTTGCCTCTATGAAAACAGCCCCCTTGCTTGTAGAGTATAATATGAGGAGCCTTCATCCAGAAAGTAAAGAGTCATTACCACCTCCCTATCTAATCAAAGGGTAAGGTATGAAAACCAAGATTTAACAAAGAAGAAAAACCATGATTTCTTTGGCTCCTAAGGTGCCACCAAAACAAACAAAGTTAAGTTTTTCCCCTCCATCCAACGACTTTGCTTTACGAGGAACAAAAACCAAAATTTAATAAGGAAGAAAAACTATGATTTCTTGACCTCCTTGTCTGCGAGTTTCTTTTTTTTTATTTTTTTTTTCCCTTCAATCCAATGACTTCGAGTTCTGCCGCCATCTTTCATTTTCACTATAGATTACATGATCAAGGTGCTTTCTCAAAAACCTCCCCTGAATCTTTCTCGACTTTAGTCAGACCCTCTTCCACATTTTCATCGAACTCATCTATAGTTCTCAACAAACTATTTTCCTCCTAGATAAATCTCCAAAGGTCTCTAATTCAATTTTTTACCAAAATAGCATCGCTCTCATGAAAACTGAAATCCTGCCAACCTTTCCACAAGTACCAACACCAATCAAACTTTGGCGGAGGAAAAACATGATTAAAACTTTGGCCCCACCTTTTAGTAGTGTAGTTTCTTTGAAACAAGTCAACCCCTACTAAGAGAACTATCATAACCCCCTATCATAAATATGCAACTGAGGTACTAAGTGCAATGATGCATACGTATAGATTTTCAAGTTAATCGTTCATTGTAGTAAAACTATGAATGTTAACAACAAAATTAGAAGAAAATAAGTTCTTTAAAAAGTTACTAACAAAAAGCCAAAAAAGGGCTCCGGATTCATGACACATAGATTGGCACAGGAAGCCCAAAGGCATTTAGAAGTGGAACTAATTAATTTAGGAAAATATCATAAATGAAGATTAAGAAAATTTTATGCAACATGACCTGTTAAGAGACACAGGATGCGACCCGGGAAATTGCAAATTCGCTCTTGCCTGTAAAATAAATTAGTTAAAACATTGAATCAAGTACAAGCAACACAAAAAGGGGCTACATCTGCAATCTACACATGCAAATGCTTCAACTACATAACGTATCTTATGCATAAATTTCAACTACAATCTTTTATGCAATAGTGTTGCATAGACTCACGCATGTTGGCTTCAGCAAAAAGTTCAAACTGAACAAATTTTATTGTCCTATTTGAAAACTAGATGATCATTCATCATTCTCGTTTTTAAACGATGAATATAAGAATTGAATAGGACAGCAAAAAATTATACGAAGTATAAAATACATTCCATGGCTACCAAATAAGTACAAAGTATATTCCATGCCTACCAAATAAGTCATATGCTTCCAACTAAAAGATCATTTGTAGGTTGAATTAGAAATTTATTCTTGAACTTTGAGGTTTGTGTCTATTTGATCCATGAACAAACAAAACCACTATTTAGTCTCTGAGCTTTAAACTTTTTTAAAATTTATGGATCTACTAAATATAAATTTAGGGTTCCATTAGACATAAAATTCAAATTTATATATAATAGATCAATTAATTTTTAAGAATTTTGAATTTTTCTAAGACCTGTTAGATGCAAACTTGAATGTTCATGAACCTATAAACACAATTAAAAATTTGGGACCTATTAGACATTTTTTGAAAATCTGGAGACCAAATAGACAAAAATCTCAAAGTTGAATTTTACCTTTTCTTAATAAATAAATAATGGTTGTAATACACACACACACATATATATTCCAAATTTTAGTGGTACTTTGAAAATAGATGGTTTAAGTATAAAATTTCATGATCGCCTAGCAAGTAAAAAATAATAATTATTATTATTATCATTTAAAAAAAAGGGTAAAATGAAGAGTGAAGACAAAACAATTCACCCCATATAAAAATCCCCAGCGATCTTGTGCGAATATAGATGGAATAATGTCTTAGGTTCCATTAAGGAAGACGTGAAACCATGGATTATCTTGTCTATATTATGATATAAAAGTGCAGACACATAAGAAGAAGAAAAGGTTTAGAGAGCATACTCCTGCATTCATTTTAAGCATTTGATAGCAGAAGTGTTTAAAAGCACGTTCTTGGTCCTCAGGTATCTCATCACCCAATATATCATCATTTGTCATCACTTGAGCAGCATCATCATGATTTTCCTTGAAAACAACCAAGAAAAAAAAGAATCAAATAAGCTACATCCAAAGACTAATTAATAGATCTGAATTGGTCCTCCTATTTTGTAATTCTCCTATGAACAAAACCCTTCATTTCTGTCGACAGAAAAAGACTTTGTCTACAACCCAACAATTCTAATGAACTAGTTCTTTTAGTCCTTGCCAGAGAGGGTTCAAGAAAAACTATAGAAAGTAGCATATTGGTCTAGAGCATGGGACATGGGAATGTAATGTACCACGTCTTAATTCCTATCTTTCCAAGAACTAGCACGCTGAGTGCAAGTGTGTGAATGAATAGAATGGAACCTAATGCAAGAATTAACAAAAAGAAATTGAACGAAGTGGAGTCCTGGGTGGATTCCATGTGCAGTCTAACTAAGATCCCATGAGGCTTAAGGCAAAAAGATACTTCCTTTCATGTGCTCTTAGTCTTTGAAGCTGCAAGCAAGTTTGATTTCATTTCTTACTTGAGAAGACAATGAAGTACAAAGAGTCCATATATTTCTTTTTTAATAACCCCTCTTTCTTGAGAAAAAATGAAAGAACACATGATTGTGTACACTTCTTACGTATCTAACCCATTAATAGGAAGAAATTGAAATATTGACAAGAACGAGTACTCTATGAATATTGCATACATTCAAAGGAGCAGCAGAACCTCCATCATCGTCATCATCCGGAACTGCTTCACCATTAAGATCAAGATCTGAGGATCTCTTCCACTCAGGTGTGGGTGGGCAAACAACCAATTCAGGTTTTTTTTCATGATAGAAGGCATATAATGCATCAATGTAATCTGGCTTGTAAATTCCAGGAGGACGTGCATCGGAAAACATTTTAAGAGCCTGTGCAACGAGGATAATCCAATGTCCCCTCTCAAGGGGTAGCAAATCAAAATGAGAGATGAATCAATGAGATGAACAAAGATGAACCAAGAAATGATCATGACACGTGAATCATTTTATAGGTGGACTTACTAACCTGGGTAACAGAAATGGATAGTGCACGCGCAAGATAATTTATGATCATATATCCAGTGCGATTATGGCCATGCGTGCAATGGACAAGAATATACTTCTTTGAGTGTTTCTGACGAGAAATAAACTGACTGACCTGGGAAAAAAAAAAGATAATAATTAACGCATGTTCGGCTGTTCGGGCTCAACAATCTTCTCAGTTCCTAAGCTGAACAAGTAAAAAGTAAACAAGTCCACACATGCACAAATAATGAAAACATGTAACTGTGTGTATGTGTGCGGACATGCCAACACACTTTTTTTCCCCCAAATCAAACAGATACAGTAGAGAACGTATTCAAAGACCTAATGTGCATTGCCAGGACACAAAAGCTGCTGATTAAGGAATTCAATGGACAATAAGTTAGAAATTTGGTAGATCAAAGAAGCCCAGATTGATACAGTAGCTAGACAGTATAACACCCAAAACGAGTAATGATATTATTCAGTTCTTAATTTCACGTCGTACCCAATATTCCAAGAAAAAAAAAAGATAAAACAAAGGCCAATCCCTAGACCCTTCCACTCAAAATCTGATGCATGAAAGCACTTCTAATAAAATGGAAAAAGATTCCAGGTGAAAAAAATGGTACGAACCTCGTAAACGAACATATTGACCGATTTGTTGTCAGGTACAGAATCCCTCCCCTTGCAAGGAATCTTCCCCCAACAAGAAGAACGAAGATCACAGAAAATAAGAAAAGTTCAATACCAACAATTAAAAAGTACAACTAAGATAACATGCCATATTCCAAGGCTCACCTTAACATACTTGATACCCTCTTTATTCAAATCTGTCGTTGTATAATAACGATAAGAATTTGTCAAATCAATCACCAAACCGAGCTGAAAGTTTAGTTCAAAATAATCTGTTATTTCAACTTGGTAAAATGAGCAAGAATAAGAAATTCTTTATTAAAATATTTTGTTCTTTGGTTCTCCATGTGCATGAGAACAACTGACCAAAGAGATTTCTTTGTTTTCTTTATGCTACTATTTTTAATGAATACTTTATTTCTTATTAATGGAATGGAAAACAAGTTAAAGATTAAGAAGTTGCATCCCTATATCAAAAAAATAATAATAATAATAAATAAATAAATAAAATAAAATATAAATTGCACTTTTCTCTCTCTTTCTCTGGTATATATATTTTTTTTAATCCGTGCATGTGTTTGAGCGAGGAGTGTGAGAGACAGAGGCTTACTTTTCTCCCCCAAACTCTCTGCTGCTGATGGATCGCTTGCTTAAATGCATATCTTTTACCAGGTGCTACACAATCACTGAAGGTGTCGCCCAGAGGAACTTTGGAAGGAATCATGCAACATATTTCTTGACCAAAAGCAGGGCAATCCAACCAACCTGCAAGTAAAAGAGTGGTAAACAAAAATGGTTAAAGCATAAAGCATAGAAAAGAAAGTTTCTAGAAAAGAATGTTTGCTTTACATGGTCTACGTTTTAGCATCAGCACTCAACTTAAAGCCTCAAATATTTAGGTGAAAAAGATCGGAAAAAATAAATGGAACCGTAAACCTTTCGTGAACCTGCTCTTATTTGATCATTTGAAAACTGAAATATTTACAACCAGGTACATGCAAAGGAACCATAACCTTTCGTAAATCTTAAAGTATGAGTAAAAAAGAAGGAAAATGATAGAAACCAAAAACTAAGAGCCTCACCTGGAGGAAGCCTGCTTCTAACAGTTTTTTGGTTTTTAGCAGGGTAAGACTGATCCCGTGCCGGCTGTTGGTATTCATGCACCGGTCTCTCAATAGAGCGATCTCTTTTCAACCGCCTTTTTCTTTCTTCTCGTTCCTAACACAAACAAATGGATGCACAATCAAGCTGTACTTCACGTCCAGGTATCAATGTGTATGCATGAATACTGCTTGATTTCATGCAAGTACAATACACTGGTGCACTTACAAAAAGACTAAGCTTCCTCCTTCGACTGTCCATAAATCTCTTTTTCTTTTTTTCTTTTTTTTTTTCTTTTTTTTTCTTTTTGTATTGCTATATTCTTGCATTTTTCTTAACCTGAGCTGGCCTAGCCAAAAAAAAAAAAGTATCCCCGAGTATCAAATCTTACTACAGAGCATAGAAAACCAAGATGAGATTTTCCCTTTATCCGCTACTCCATATAAACAATTCTAATGAGGTGTCCAAAAAAGAAATAAAAGATAGGACTTAAAACAGAATCTTCGCAGAAATCCTCCCTCTTTCGCACCATCATTCTCGATAATGAAAGTTTATGTTTCTAGTTAAAAAAAAAAAAAATTAAAAAAAAATTTTAAAAAAAAAACACAGGGCAGAAACGCACATACCCGCCGTGCAATACTGGCACCAGTCTCTATATGATCCTCTGGAGCACTATACACCACTTCATGTCTATCAAACGTCTCTTCATCCTCTTCAGGCACCGGCGAGGCATTTAAGTCCATGAAGACAATCACTCAACGTCCACAAACCAACATTTACTCCAAACCTCACAATTCCTCAAACACAGCAGAGTCACAAACTTCACTAGTAACCCAATTCTAGGCACAACCCTGCAAGTCAAAACCCCCAAACAACACAAAATTAAAACCATTTCGACTACCGGTTTCCCAAGTAAAAATATGAACCGCATTACTCGTAGTACGTAACCCACAACCCTATCAAATGAAACAACCTAAATAGAAACAAAATCCCAAATTCTCGATGCCTCAATTCTGCAAATTGAGAGCACACGATCAACGTGAAACGGAAAAAGGAAAAAAAAAATCAAGAAAGAACATAAGAATAAAAGAATAATAAGTCGTACGAAATGGGAAAAAAAAAAAAAAAAAAAAAAAGGCAACACAAAGACAGAATCAAACCTCGGCAGGAAATTGCAATCGACTGCCAATCCCTGCCGAAACAACTAGGATCCAGCAGCGCTTGGATAAAGAAAGCAAGAGGAAGGTGTAGGCGTCGGAAATCAAGAATCCACCAACTCGTAGTCGAAAAATATTCTCACCTTAAACAGTCGCAGGAAAAATCCAAGTAGAAAAAACTCACATAATTCGCATTCGAAACCCTAAGAAAGAAAAAAAGAATAATGAAAGCAAAAAATACAGAGTAGACGGAATGAAAGAAGATGATGATAATCAATGTTTCGAGAGAGAGAGAGAGAGATAGGAGCAACTTTTAAATTTTAATTAATCTATTAAAAAATTTTGAGTTTTATTTATAAACTTTCAATTAGGGTTTCGTTGTATACAACATTTACATTTATATTTTTTTAAAAAAATAGTTTTTTTATAAATTTGAAATTTTTAAAAAATTTTAAAATCAAATAAATACGAATTTCAAATTTTAATGATTAAATTTATAATTTAATATTTTTATTTTGAAAATAAATTTAAACAAAACAATATAAATATACATTGAGTATCAAATTATTATTTAAAAAACCGATAATATAAAATATCAATGGCCTATTTTGGAATTAAATATGTCATTTTTGTTAAAAAATAATATATTTAGATTTACGTAACATATTTTAGAAAAAAATCTACTCATCTTAAATCTATTAAATTCTAAACTTTTTATAACTAAAAAATTTATATTTTTGTTATAACATGAGTAAGACTTCTTAAAATCTAAATATTTACATAATATTAGAGCGAAATTCGAGATACGAGCATTTATCGATAAAAAAAATTGGAATTTTGAGAAGATTTTAAATTACAATAATTACGAATTATTAACTTATGGTCTAAATGATTTGAAATTAACTAAAGTTTAATTGAATAAAATTTTATGTTATATTCAGGAGCTTAAGAAATTCAACATAGATATGATATTTGTTGAAGTAACATTGCTGAAATTGCATAAAAGATGGCAAATGATGAGTAAAAACAACAAAGCTTCTATAATCATGTACAGAATACTGATCAAAATTGTTAAAAAGCTTCATGAAAGTATGGTAGTTCCAAGGGAGTTATCATCTCATGAATGGGAGATGAAACCTTCGTTAAAAAGTTTAAAACAAGTCCGAAAAGAGCTAAACCATCAAGTATGGCTGAGTAGACCATCAAGTATGGCTGAGTAGACCGCTCGTGCCTGCCCCCATAGCCACACGGGCTCATCCTAAATGGAATGGCTCTCTTAGTTACACTGGTCAGCCTAAGCTTAAAAAATTTAAAACAAGTCAAAAAGAACATAACCATTAGGTATGGCTGAGCAGATCGCTCGTGCCCGCCCCCATAACTACACGGGCTCGCTCTAAATGGAATGACTCTCTTGGTTACGCTGGTCAGCCTAAGCTTAAAAAGTTTAAAACAAGTCGAAATGAGCATAACTATCAAGTATGGCTGAGCAGATCGCTCGTGCCCGCCCCCATAACTACACGGGCTCACTCTAAATAGAATGGCTCTCTTAGTTTCGCTGGTCAACCTAAGCTTAAAAAGTTTAAAACAAGTTGAAATGAGCATAACTATCAAGTTTGGCTGAGAAGACCGCTCGTGCCCGCCCCCATAACCACACAGGCTCGCCGTCGTCAGCCTAAGCTTAAAGTAAAGGAAAGGCCCCTCGGGTTTACTGACTCGAAAGATATCAGACCTGCTTGTTTGAGACCAAAGTAGAGTGTAAACCAGCATGCCTAAAGGCAATTAAGAAACAGAAGCTGCTACTTTTGTTTGGAACAGACCATTAAAACCCTTTGGTTCAAATTGAATGTTCCAACCAGGATGATGTCTAGTTTCTAAACAATCATATGATCAATCATCAAAAGTGGGAAATGATACCATTTTAAAGAGTCTGAAAAGCATTATAGGCCTCCAAGACATTCTTGCAATCTATACAGAGCTATTTGGATCTATCTTTGAAAAAATAAGAAACACAGCAACAACAAAACCAGAAGCCAGATATAAATAACTCCAAATCCAAGAGACCTAATTTAGAGAAGAAAAATCCCAGAAACACAGGAAAAATGAAAATGCAGCTCTGCCCTGACCTTCCAGCTCCAGTTCATGCTAAATCTTGTAACCGATCAAAATCAAGCGATGTCATATTCGGGTTAGAAGCGGAAACAGCTAACTTAGTATTTCTGGCCATTGTAGAAGCTCTCACTAATTTTCAGTTGCGTCCAACTTTTTCTTCTTAGGCATGGTCCTGCTCATGCATACTGATAGTAAAAACACAGCAAAATTTGAAAAGTTAACTAGTAAAACTCTTAAACTTAGCTATTTTGCATCCACTGGCAGCTGCTCCCTAATCCGAATTCTAAATACCTCAAGCTCAAGAAAATATTCCATAATTATTGAGATATATTTTTCATGTTGATCAGAAAATGAAGAAAAGGGCAAGAGTAGTTCGTTTTCAAAGATGTTGATGAACTAAAGCCTTTCAAGTTTCAATGTATTTCTCTGCATCTACGCGTGCTCGTGTGTGTTCTTTTAACATGGTAAAAAAGATTGCAAAACTCACATTAAGCGAAGGTATGTTCAGCACCCAAATTCATCTGAATTCTGGCATCACCGTCGCCGTACACAGAACTATCGCCTTCTTCTTGTGGATCGAACCCTGATTCTGCAGTTTCTAATATCTCTTCCCTCAGTGTTTCATGTTTCTTCTTCAAGTCTGAAGATTCCAATGCAGCAGCAAGGCTCTGCTTTATTTGTTGCTCCAAAGCCCAAATTCTGTTCTTTGAGGTTGCATCTGGTGTCTTTCCAGCCTTGGCTACCTCCAGTTTCAGTAATTCAATCTTGTCTTTTAGATCTGTTCTGCTTACAAAACTATCAATTCCCTGATTAATTTCCTCATTTAACATCTCTATCTTTGGTTTGAATAGCGACAACGATGACTGCTCGCAAAGGACTTGTGCTTTTGATGTTAATACTTCAACATCTAACCCTAAGGAGTTGAGGGCATTTACCAACTCCCCTTGTATTTCCTTCTTTACATTATCGATTTTCTTTCGCAGTTCGGGGTCCAAATCCGAATACGTAGACGCCCCTGAATTTTCAATTTCAGCTCTCAGCGCTTCATATTTCTCTTGTACATTAGGTTGACTTAGAACCTCTGCAAATTTTTTGTTGATTTCCTGTTTCAACGAGGCCTCCTTAACATCTCTTACTGATAGAGCCTTGAATTGAGATAAGTCATTTAACATGTCGAGTTTCTTCCTCAGATTCTCGTAGTTAGGAGCTTTAAATAACCCCTGGTTGATTTCATCTCTAAGCTTCTCAATTTCTCCTTTCAATGCAGGTTGGATAAGTTGGTCCGGTGAATTTGCTTTCGAAAACTGTTCTCGGAGCGTGGCGAGTCTGTCATTCAATCCCATGGCCTTTACTGCCGCAGAAAATTCAAAATCAACTTCTTTCTTTAATTTTTGAATCATCTTATTCAGAACCAAATCAGGTTGACCAGTGGAGGATTCCTTGGCTTTCAATATTTCTTGTTTCACTTTTTCCACCTGAACTTCTAGTTGCTGAACTGGGGTCTTCCCGACGGGTACTTTCTTCGTCTTCCTGACAACGGGTACTTCCTTCTTTTTCATGTTCAATTTCTTTTTTGGATCAATTGGAACGCCTTCTTGAAATCCACCAATTTTACGGAATTTCATCATTCGATGCCTCAATAGTTCTTCCGTATCCATCATCAAAAGCTCCTGAAACAACATGTGCAGTACAACTCATTAAAGTATAAGCTACCATGAGCAGCTTTCATTATTTTGGAAGAATTCAAGGACATACATCCATGGTCTTATTTATTGCAATTTTTATTTGTTGTGAGGTCCATGAAGGATCTGCATGCGCACCACCCAAAGGTTCCTGTGAAGAATAACTCTTAAGAACACGATGAACTAATAAAAGAACGTGCAATAACAAGATATGTGAAGGACAGCATCATTACAGGGATTATGCCATCAGCAATTTGTAGTTTGCACAACTCCGACGCAGTAATTCTTAGCTTCTCTGCTGCCTGCAAATAAAAGAAAATCTCAAAAAATACATATATAACAACCTTCACAAGAGGAAACTAAGCAATGAATGTATAAAAACCTGTGGGGAAGCTTTTGCACTCTTCCATAAGATTGCAGCGCAGGCTTCAGGGCTAGATCGTAGTAAGAATAGCCAAAAAAAGGAAAGAAATGATCAGCATGCACACAAATGAAGTTGCCTTACTTTACTAAAGCTAGCCATGAAATGCACCTGGCAACATAGAAAACTGCATTCTCAAGCATTAGCAACTTATTAGCACAACCGATTGCCAGGGCACCACCAGAACCGCCTTCGCCAATGACAATTGAAATTATCGGTACCTTGAGACCAAACATAGTCCTCAAATTATGAGCAATAGCTTCACCCTGCAAATGTATGAAGCAAATCAGTTCTCCAGATAAAGGAAGAGCTCGATGAAAAAAGAATATTTTGTTACATACTTGACCCAGTTCCTCGGACTTGAGGTCTGCATAAGCGCCTGGTGTATCAATGAAAGTAACAATTGGGAACCCATGGTGATCAGCATAATACATCATGCGAAGCGCCTTCCGATAACTATTGGGAATTAGATAAAACTTATAATCAGGACTAAACATCCGATACCCAAACTTCAAATTCTTCAAGTTGGAATTCAACTAGCAATAATTCATACTACTTCAAAACTCGTGGATAATTATATAATGTATAGTGCAACATGGGTCGCCATGCTAACATACCCGTGTGGTGTAGGCATTCCAAAATTACGCCGAATATTTTCTTTTGTGTTTCTACCCTTTTGGTGACCCATGAACATGTACCTTCTCCCATCTATGGTTCCTATACCAGTAACAATTGCAGGATCGTCGTACCCTAACCGATCTCCATGAAGTTCAACGAACTGTAAGGCAGAGATGAATAAAATATTTTTTCATTAACACGAGCAAATCCACAATCCAAAATTTTCGATATCACTTTCACAATAAAAGGAGCACCAAACCTTTTCAGTGATATTAAACACGTGATCAAGGAAAGTTGGCCTGTTAGGATGCCGAGCTATACTGACACGTTGTATAGGAGTCAAATGAGTGTACAAGTCCTGTAAAGCCTGAAGCCAGCAACGCGAAGTAATCAAACTCATTAAGGTAAATTTACGTGGAAAAGATTAATTTTCAATACTTCTTGGAATAA